AATCAGTTTCATCCAAGAGTGCTTGGAGTTGTCCCACCACCACCCGCTCTAGTACCTTGCCCAGGAACGGGATGTTGGCCACCGGTCTATAATTGGTGGCCACCTCTGGATCCAGGGATGCCTTCTTTAGGACTGGCCAGACTACTGCCTCCTTTAAAGGGGCAGGTACCCAGCCGTCTCTTAAAGAGGTGTTGACCACCTCCAGGATCCAGGTCCCAATCCCGTCCTTGGCTTTCTTAAGTAGCCAAGATGGGCATGAGTCTAGTAAGCAAGTGGTAGGATGTACTTGTCCAAGCACCTTGTCCACATCATCAGGCCGCAACAACTGAAATTCATCCATTAATTGTGGACTCGATAGCATCAATGGCAACTCCCCAGTGAAATCTGATTCAATAGCAGAGTCAAGCTTGTGGCGAATCTGAGTGATTTTCTCCCTAAAATGCTTGGCAAAGTCATCACAGCGGGCCTTCGAGGGTGGCACCAGATCTCTCTTCGGGCCTGGATATAACAGCCCCTGCACCATCCGAAAGAGCTCTTCTGGACGGCATTGTGAGGAGGCAATGGAAACAGAGAAGAATTTCTTCTTCGCCATCCTCACCGTCACAGCATAGGCCCAATAATGGGCTCTCAAGTGTGTTCAATCAGAATCACCCCGTGATCTCCTCCACCTACGCTCTAGACATCTCCCAACCTGCTTCATCGCCCGTAATTCAGGTGTATAGCAAGGAGATGAATGGGCTCTGCCAGGTGGGAGAGCACGCTTGGGAGCGATCGTGTCTATAGCCCTGGTAATCTCCTCATTCCACAGTTCAACCAGGGCATCAACAGGATCACCAGGCTTGTCAACCGGAAAATCCCCCAGAGCGTCCAGGAATCCATCAGGATCCATCCGGCTCCGGGGGCAGACCAATACAATCTGGTCCGCACCCTTACAGAGGGAAAGGCCGCTCTCGAGCTCAAACCTTATGAGGAAGTGATCTGACCATGACAAGGGCATCAAACTTAAATTTGAGTGGTATCTACTAATTAGTAGTTTCCATGTACCTCTATCTTGCCTCCAAATGGCAGCATGTATCCCATGAGCACCTGCGGCTGGGAATCAATCCCAGGGTGTACTGCTCCTGTCCACCCTGCTGACCTCTTCCCCACTGGCCCACATGCTCCCCTGGCCATGTTCTCAGCCAGCTGTCACCCCCCTCCCTCCCCCATGGATCCACTGTCATCTTGTTAGAGTAGTAAGGTTGTTCTGCAGGAGCAACAGAATGTCACCTCCTGCTGCTGCCACACTTCCTAGTAATGCATAAGCACCCCCCCCCCCACACACACACAGCTCTCCTCCCTCCCTTGCTGTACATGTGCCAGATGCTCCTCCTCCCATGCACTGCCAGGACTGCTTCCCCTCAGCAGCCTGGCACATGGAGGGCAGCAGTGTGGGTACCAGTGCCAGGGCCAGAGGGAGCATCTTCTTCTGGACACACTTTACCAAGGATGCCAGTGTGGGCAACTGCCTGGGAAGAGTCTTTGTAAAGTGCGAGGACTGTGATTGACCTGTAGCTGGGGGCAGGAGGGTGACAGAGCAATGGACATGAACTGGTGGGGGTGCTCATGCACAGCCTGCATATACCTCATGTGACGGACAGCCATCACATGAGAAGCCTGCTGACTCCCAACATGGGGTAATTGCAGGACTCACCTCATTTAAGGCACCGAACCAGTCAGGTGTAGTGACCGGGCAGGAGTGCCAGGCAGCACTGCAATGGCTACATTTGCACATCACACCCTGGCAGCCAGGGGTGAAAGGATGTTTGGCATGGGCCTTGCATGCTTGCCTATATCTAGTCTTCAGTTTGCACCTGAAGTCTGTAAGGGTGCAAACCAATGGTTTCCTGACATTGTCTCCCTGCTCTGCCATCTTCTGACCTTAGCCCAGACTCTAATGGCTAAGCTCTCATTCTGCCCATCTCAGGACCCATGTGGAAATAACTGTGCTCCTCTCTTCCTCAAGTAGAAATGTGCCTCACTGAGGGCAGGGAGGAGAGGAGGCTAGCCTTGTCTACCTACAGCAGGGGTCCTCAAACTTTACCACCAGGGGGCCAGTTGGAAGGTGCTGGTGCTGGACGCGGGCCGGAAAGGTGGTGCCGACGGTGTGCGCAGGCCGGTGAGGGGGTGGAGGCGGTGCGCGCTGAGGCGGGGGCAGGGTGCACAGGGAAGCGAGGGGAGGGGAGGTACGGGTGGGTGGGTGGCGCACGTGGCGAGGGAGGCGAGGGGAGATGTGGGCGGGCACATGCCATGAGGCGGGCACACGAGGCAGCGGCTTGCTGGCTTGGAGATCATTTTCTCCGAGTGAGCAAACCGCTGCCTCCCTGTGCGCGGGGCAAGGTGGGCGGCGGCGGGCGTGCACACATAGTTGGTCCACATGGGCATGGCAGGCCAGATCCGGCCCCCAGGCCATGGTTTGAGGACTCATGATCTACACCAATCAGTGTATCTATGTCTATCGATGTCCTAATCTCTTTTCTGCTCCTCTCCTGGCACCTTACCTAGATGCTAAAAACAGCCATCTAGATAAAATATATGGCTTCAGTATGGTGGAATCCCCAAGCTGTGCCTCACTGCAGCCACTGGATGCATATAAGCCTCCAAGTTCTGAGATTTGTGCATTTAAATTGGGGGCAATATGGCTGCACCCTAAAATAAGTGTATATGTGTGAAGAATCCCCCGCACAACAACACCCCATTACTTGGTGGGCAGCTCACTAGTACATCACATGGAACTCAGCAGTCCTTTAAAAAAGAGACCTATTTAAGATGCAAGGCTGCATTTTATGAAGTCAACAAATAATACATTTCCTCTTTAAATTATTCATTGTACAAGTACAGAAGAACCATGCTGATTAACTCCCTTCTCCCCTCTGTCCACTTCAAGAATCAATACAGCTAATGTTAAAAAGCATAATCTGTAATGGAAATCCTATCTTGTGAACCACTTGATAATATCCTATCATGTGAACCACTGTTTCAACATTGCTGCTCTTAGAATCAGGCTGTGTTTAATTGCTAGAGAGATTTAAACCTGAAGGGTTGCTTCCCATTATTTTTCCTAACTAAGACAGCAATGTTCCCAGAAGCTGAATATGTGATATCTTACTTCTTACTTAAGGAATGACTTTGAGAGTCATAGGTTAAAAACCCCAACCTATGGAATTGGTTAAAATATCCATTAAAGAACCATGTTTTCTGAGTGGAAAACTGCTTTCATTATCTTAAAGAAAACCATACTTATGCTTCATGAGAGCTACTAGCTATCAAATGACAGGAATATTTTATGCCAAATGTGGTAACAAGAAGACACGAGAAACTTTAAAAATGTAAGTCAGAGTGCTCAGCCAATCCCTCCAAACGGCAGAGAGGGATGGTGGCAAAAGCATCTCCCTGGAGGACACATCTGCATGTTCCAGGTAGCCTGTCCTAAACCCTGAAACTGGTCTGCTTGCCCTCAGGTGAGATGGAGGGGGCTGTCCCATCAACAGCACTTGCCAATCTGGACAGCTGCTCTAGCTGTAATAGTGGATAGTGGCTTGGGTGATAAGAACCATTTTATGCATTGCTGTAGGCAGCAAAATGTCTTAGCCCAGTTCTCCCAGTACAATATTTACATGCCAGTTCTTTCTAGGTCTGGCTGAATATATGGTCCTATGTTGGAATGACATGAGTTGACTCTTCATATTGATCAGCTGAGAAAAAGGCCACTGGGGAACACTAGCAGAAAGATGGAGCCAACTCTCTGGGTCACTCAGGTGCTGCTCCAACATTTTCAGAACAGTGCTTAATGCATGGGGGAACTGAGTGGTTCTGCTAATTTGGTGTTGCTGTTGACCCTTGGACATTAGCTGAAATCAGTCAGTAACATCACAAACTCAATGCATGACAAATAACTTGTAAGCCGCCCCGAGGCTTTTTGCGAAGGGGGTGGCATACAAATGCTCTAAATAAATAAAATGCATTTATTTGACACGATTTCTGACTATAACTTCAGACAGTGGAATGAAGGGACAGAGGGCACTAATCATTTACAGACACTCAGTATTATTGGGCATATTTGGCAAAACGCAAGAGCAAACTCAGATTTTCTTTTTCCTTCCTCTTTGCAGGTATAACTACTGTGCTGACAATGTCAACAATAATTACAGGAGTAAGTGCCTCAATGCCTCAGGTGTCTTACATAAAAGCAGTGGATGTCTACTTATGGATCAGTTTTTTGTTTGTTTTCCTGTCTGTCATTGAATATGCAGCTGTAAATTATCTCACTACAGTGGAAGAACGAAAACAGCTGAAAAAGAGGGGGAAGGTACACATGAGTTTCCATGTGTTTTCTTTTTTTTTCTTTTATTTAAAAAGTGCTGTTTTAATTTCAAGGGGGAATGGGGGAAATGGTAATAATTATAACAACAGCAATGAAAATAAACACTTTTTTACTGTTTCCACTCAAAAATTAAATGTTCAGAAGCTATATTCTGTTAGTAATGTTTGGTGCAAAATTGGCAAATGCATTCTAATATAAAATATGCTAGTAATTCTTCTCTAAACAGAGCTAAATAACCCAGAATCCAAGGTTAAACACCACTAAGTGGTTTTTAACCCAGGC